ACTGCCCCCGCCAACTATGGCAACTACGGCAACTATGGCGACTACGGTGCCTATGCCAACTACCAGAACTACAAGCGTGCTGACGAGGATGACGCTGCTGCTTCCTCTTCGACCTCCTCTGCCGCCACCACCACCACTGCCCCCGCCAACTACGGCAACTATGGCAACTATGGGGACTATGGCAGCTATGGTAACTACCAGAACTACAAGCGTGATGCCGATGCCTCCAGCACCTCGACCACCACCACCACTGCCCCCGCCAACTATGGCAACTATGGTAACTATGGCGACTACGGCAGCTACGGCAACTACCAGAACTACAAGCGCGAGGACGATTCGACCACCGCTGCTCCTGCCACCACCGCCCCCGCCAGCTATGGCAACTACGGCGACTACGGCAACTATGGAAACTACCAGAACTACAAGCGTGAGGAGGAGGAGTCCACCACCTCCGCTGCTGCTGCCAGCACCACCACCGCCGCGCCGGCCAGCTACGGCGAGTACGGGAACTACGGCACCTACGGCAACTACGGCTCGTACAAGCGCGACGAGCAGCCCGAGGAGGAGAAGGAGGGAGCCTCTAGCACCACCGAGGCTGCCCCCACCACCACCACTGCCCCCGCCAGCTACGGCGACTATGGCAACTACGGCAACTACGGTAACTACCAGAACTACAAGCGCGACGAGAGCTCCTCCAGCACTACGAGCGCCGCCGCTACCACTACCACCACGACTGCCCCAGCCAGCTACGGCGACTACGGCAACTACGGTACCTACGGGAACTATGGCTCGTACAAGCGCGACGAGCAGCCCGCCGCCAAGGCGGAGGAGGACGCCTCTCCCGCGACCTCGACCGCCACGGCGAGCGCCACCACCGCCTCAGCCGGCTACGGGGACTACGGCAACTACGGCAACTACGGCAACTACGGGACTTACCAGAACTACTGAATTCTGACGCGTTCAAGGGATGAACTAGTTGCACGGGGGATACGAACCTAATGATGGTGTGAAATTGCTCTTCCGGGGGTAGGACATGACAAGGGACTCACTCGGAACGATGACACGACCCGTCCAGATGTACGCCGTTCTCGATGCACTGTGCACATCAGGGAACAGAAGGTCGATCCTGGTAATGTGGATCGCAGATGCTCGGGTCTTTCTTTCTTTTTCTTCTGTATTTAGCTTAGACTCGCAAGCATTGGATATTGAATTGAACGTTGATGATACGAGACAAGTAGTACTGTGCAGTACCTTTTCTGATGATTGTCGGTCGATGCTGGCCGGTCATGGCTGTGTCACGTGACTGGGCTGTGGCCCACCACGATGCTGGCTCCCGTTGCTTTCGGAGCTGCATGGTGGGATGCATCAGCTTCATGATTCTATTTTGTGGAGGGTGTCAGCTCAGCTTGGTTCATGGTTGACTTGTGCAAGGTTGTCGTGTTGATCCACGTTGCGTGTTCGAGTTGTACGGTGAGAAAGCACAGAGCTTGCGTGTACCACAGAAATATATTTGGCATGCAGACAGATTGAACCGCATGCCTGGACTGTCCCGCTCCTCGACAGTAAACCTGGTCGCCATGTCTAGATAATTTTTTCATCGGATAATAAGCGTGCGGTGTGCGGCGACCGGTTTGAATAGAAGAAATAAATAAAAGAAAAAGGAAAAACCATCAAGGACAAGTTTTGCGACCCAGAAACAAGAGGCGCCAGCAACAAGCTTAGCTTCCATACCAAAGGCCTATCAATAGAAAGAATGTTGACCCCGCCAAATCTTTTCTCGATTCTAACTGGAGAAGGAATGTGCCAGCGAAATCTGGACAGGTTACTGCGACGGGCGGAGTTTCCAGAGTTTCCAGTGAAGTTCAAGTATGTACTCTACCTCTACTCCCGATCGATACATGACTCGAGGGCAGAGGGAAAAAAGTCCTCTTCCAAGAATGTTGTAACCCTTCCCGACCGCTGACGCTGGAATCGGATGCCCGCATTTCTACATCCATAATCATCTACGTGTCTGCCTGGTGGTGAAAGATGAGACTTGGATTTCGGCTCACTAATGAATGCATCTCTCGACCTGAATTGCAGCTTCTGCCCGGCCCCGATTGCATTCGCATAGGTAGTGAAGTAATATACGTCACGGGTGAACCAGGTCAGCACGTGTTGCAAGGAGGCTTCTCTGATGTGACATCGGCCTTGGCAGCGCCAAATAAGAATGTAACCTACTATATACTTAATCTACACCGCAGAGAATGAGAGTCCACCCTTTCTATACTACCGACCAAGTAGTAGCAGTATATTTAGTATACAGCTATTTATAGTATTCTAGACATAAACTGGTCTCAATTTAGAAAAGTATTGGATAACCCGGTTAGTTATACTATATACTCTTTCGTACCTTAACTTTTATAGTAGCAACTTTTAAGTAATTTTAGACACCTAGTTCGCAGAACTTATTCTAATCAACATTGACTTTGATAAGCTGTCGATTAAGATTCCCTAGGCCTATACTTTAAGGCAATCGCCCTCAGGGTGATCTCTCCGATTGCAACTCATATGATACCGACAGTCTACCCAGCCATTGGCCCTGTCGCTTGAAGACAAGATAATATGTTCCAGTTCACAAAGCTTAGCTCCGTTCGGAGTCTGGTGGGGGCTACCATTTAGGCCCGGAAGCCATCCGAAGCTCTCCACTAATGCCTTCTAGGTGCGGTGAGGCCGCGTCACTGCACCATAGTCTAGCACAGATTGAAACATAGATGCATTACTATACGGTATCTTGGGGATCTAATTGGCCCCATCAAAATGTCGTAGTATCTCACGCACTTCCAGACTGGTGTACTAGTGGCCCGGACCGAGCCCCCCGGTCATTAGTATCACCTAGTAATTATCTTTTACGCTGAAGTCGAAATTCGGAGTGTTTAGGCAGCCATATCAGTAACTTATCAGTTGCTCTGTTGTCATTGAAGTTTTGGAATGGAATAAGAACCCGTTCTCCCCCCCGGGTGCCGCAGGCTGATTCCATCCTCTCCAGCTCCGCATCGGTACCTCTTGTTTGCCACTATCATTTCGGCCCTTTCGCCACACACAATGTAAGAAAGCAGCAGGCCATGATGAATTTCCCGGGTGTCGCTAACCTTGCAACTTGGTAGAACTTTCGAGTCGATATGGATCTGCTCCAACTTGCTTGTATACTCATCATCGACCTCTGCGCCCTACACCACCGCTACACCGATGGACACTGGTCCAAATCCGCACTCTCCTGTGTGGCGTTCACGCATGTCGGGTTATTGATCCACGTCATCCTGGAGACGCTGAAACAACATATGAAATGATGGCCACCACAGTTCATCAGCAATGGGGTGACGGTGTAGGCAAGACGACGGTCCTCCGGAAGGTGGATCAATGCCGACGACGCCTCGCAGTGGGCCGAAGCGCCATCGCGACCCTCCGGCACTTACCACCTAGAAGCTCGTCGTCACGGTGGAAGGTCGCAGCGAAAAAGTCATCTCCACTGTGCTACGACCCCGGACTGGAGGTCTCGGAGGACCGGGCGGGATCGTCGGGTCCAAGTCCGACGCCATCAGCTGCAGTACCTTGATCTGGGGGATGGATGAGGTACTGGGGTGTATGCGTACCAGGCGACGACGACCGGGTCGAACTGTGAGATAAGACCACGGCGGAGAGGAAGACGATCTTGGCTGCGGTGGAGAAGTGCGTGCATACCACTGGGAGTACGGTCGGATGCTGTAAGTTTAGGCATGGAGGCACACGACACAGTCATCTGCGTTTGTGCATTCGGTGGGTTGTTGAGTTGGGTAGACTGTGGGTGTGTAGTATGTAGCAGAATCTCGGCGGTTGGCGCCTTGTGCTCGCAAGCGGAACCAGATCATAATTATTATTACTGATTTCTGGACTTATTTTTACTGTTGGATCTCTGCTACCTTGTATCTCATACCGAAGCAACGTTAGATTTCACACGTTAGATTTCACACATCAGGAATGAGAAGGACACCATGTACGATAGCTCTTCAATGTCGCGGAGAGATTACATTCTCTGATCACTGGAGGCGTACTGAGTGCGGCACCGATGCTTCCACAGAAGGAACCATCCATCCAATGCCATATATGAGGCTTTAATCTGATTAGTACATCTGGCTGGTTTGTCCACTTTCACTCGTTGGTGAGAACCGGTTGATAATAACTTCTCCACAGTTAGCTTTGCGATCTCCTGTCAACTAAGTTTAAGTCGCGAAACATTGACCCAGAGTTCAGTGGGCTGGAGTGGGTCTTATTCCTGATGGACAGGTTGCCCTCCACTGCTACCATCATCACTTTCCTCTTTGCGGCAGGAGAGAAGTAAACCTTGTAGAATCTTGAACCTGGAATTCAAAGTATCGAGTGCTCCTGATTTCAAGGTTGAACTGGGTCGGACCCGCAGTGGAAGCCTGATCGGCGACCGGTGGAGTCGATCCAGATTGTTACCTTGCAGTCGCCGGGTCAGAGCTGCTGATCTTACTGTAGCAGGCCTCGGTCACCACTTCAAAAGTTAAACAAGTGAAAGATATTTGTAAATCTATCCAGAGGTGTTCAATCTTTGAGGATATATGGATATATAAAAACAATTTACTAGAGTTTAAGCTAAAGCTGCTCTAGTGCTTGAACGTTACTTAAGGGGTTGTTGAGTACAAACCAGACATAGCCGGATATATAGTAGTACGTGCTTAGGAAATACCTTACTAAGGACTAAAAGCACAGAAGAAGTACTGTTCTCATGTACATACTGCCCTGTCAACAACAGCGGTCCTGTATCGGACACGCAGAGAAAACTCACACCAAAATATTTCAGTAATGGAACGACCGACTGCAACATCCGAGTAATTTGAATATGAAAGAGAAAAAGTAAGCCAATCTTGATCAAACATGACAAATGATAGGCCCGATCTCGCCGAGCGACCCTAACTCCTCGTATTTGTCCGTCTCCACCCAATCACCAGAGAGCTATAGCTCAAGTGGCCGCGAGAGCGGCATCGGAGTCCGCTGCGGGGAAAGCCGAGCGCCATCCAGGCTAGCCCTTAACTTATCCCCAGGACTCACAGCTGCAGAGAGTCAGAGACTGTGTGGGCAAGCTGGAGAGGGGAACAATGACTCGATCGGCATTGGTAGCTTGCCCATAGCGCATCACTTCCTCTGGATCTGCACGGCATGGTTGGTTCATGCACATGGTTCGTCTCCACCGCCGGGGTCGGAGAGCAACACATTTTTTGGGCAAGGATGAGAGGGAGTCATCATCTTTCAGCTGGCCGCAGTGCGCCTGTTAGTCAATCGCCCATTTAAATAAATTGGCGCCCGTACGTGGGTTGCAATTATGATTGTTTGATTTCTTTCTTCTCTTCCTGTTGCTTTTTCCTTCCGGTTTTCCTGATAAAACCCCCTCCACCCTCCGTTGACCTCGGCAACAACCTGCATTCACCCCTTGCTGCGTGCGCGCATTAGACCATGGTCGTGGATGGTGAGCTCCCTCCCCCCGTCTTCTCAGCGCCCGTCGTAACTTTGCGATCGTCTTTCTGTCTCCTGCGATCGCAACCCACTGACCACTCCCCCTGTTCTCCATGACGGCAGAAAAACAAACCGTGGACAACGGCGACCTGACGCCGGAGCCCTCGCAGTATGGCACCGTCAACGAGCGCAAGCTCATGGCCAAGATCGACTGGCATGTGGTGCCGTGCCTGTGTGTGATGTATCTCCTCGCATTTTTGGATCGGTAAGCCCAACGCCTACAGCTGCAGGCCAATTTACCTGCCACACACGCCCCGTTTTCCGCGCGCAAGCTCGTGCTCTGACATTACGAATCGCGCAGTGTCAACATCAGTAACGCCGCGGTGCTGGGCCTCGAGAGCGACCTCCACATCACGACGGGCACGAAATACAACACCGCCCTGACGATCTTCTTCGTCCCGTACATCATCTTCGAGATTCCGTCCAATGTGTTGATGAAGAAGTTGAAGCCGCATACATGGCGTACGTTACTGGATTATTGCTGAAAAGCTGCGCAACTGAGTACTGATGTGTGTCGTCCGGGGGTAGTCTCGCTGTGTATGTTCGGATTCGGCCTCGTGATGGTCTGTCAGGGCTTCGTGCAGAATTGGGGCGGGTTGATGGCCACGCGGTGGTTTCTGGGCATGTTTGAGACGGGACTGTTCCCTGGGTGTGAGTTTTCCTGGCAGGCGATGCGATGCGATTGTGTGGTCCATACTGATGCCCCGGGCGAGGAAAACAGGCTTCTACCTCCTGGGAATGTGGTACAAGCGCAGCGAGGCGCAGAAGCGGTTCAGCTTCTTCTTCAGCTCGACGACCCTCGCCGGCGCCTTTGGCGGGCTGCTGGCGAGCGGCCTGGGCAAGATGGACGGGGTGCGCGGGCTGGCGGGCTGGCGGTGGGTGTTCATCATCGAGGGCATCCTCACGTGCGTGGTCGCTATGGGCTGCTTCTTCGTCGTGCCGGACTTCCCCGAGGACGTCAAGTGGCTCACCCCGGAGGAGCGCGAGTTCCTGCGCGACAAGCTGGCGCAGGACGCGGGCAAGTCGGCGGTCGATGTGAAGACGGGCTGGCGTGATATTCTGGCCGTGTTCAAGGATTGTATGTGCTTTCCGGATGCCCCTTTGCTTCCGCTGGCTTGTGCGGTATAATAACTGGACGAAACTGCAGACAAGATCTTCATCGGGGGATGGATGTATTTCGGGCAGGTGGTCACGGCTTACGGTATGATGCCTCGTGGCTGTGTGAATCTGGACGATTCGACTTATGCGCTCGCAGGATACGCGTACTTCGCGCCGACAATCATCAGGACCTTTGGCTATGGCGGTATGTCTTCCCCCTCACTACCGCGCATGCGCATCCCTGACACTCACCTTCCCTCTATGTAACAGCCATCAAAACCCAATTCTACTCGATCCCCCCCTGGGCCGCCGCCTTCGGCTTCTCGATGTGCATCGCCTACCTGTCGGACCGGTTCCAGCACCGCTTCCTCTTCACGCTGCTGCCCATGCTAGTCGCCATGGCCGGGTTCGGCATCCTCATCAACATCCACAGCACGACGCAGCACCACATCCAGTACGGCGCCCTTTTTCTGGTGACGAGCGGCTGCTACAGCGCCATGCCCGTGCTCGTGTGCTGGTTCGCCATGAACCTGGGCGGCCACCGGCGCCGCAGCGTGGGCACCGCCTGGCAGATCGGGTTCGGCAACAGTGCGTGTCCCCGGCCTTCCTTCTCTCCAACCCTAAATAATCCATCCCCCAGAGCTAGAGCTAATGGTTTGGTGAACAGTCGGCGGCATCATCTCCACCTACTCCTTCCTGTCCAAGGACGCCCCCTTCTACCGCAACGGCTACATCATCGGCGTCTCCTTCCTGGCCTTCTCCGCCGCCATGTCCTGCTTGTACTTTTTGGCCATTTGGCATGATAACCGGAAACGCGACCGGGCGATCGCCGACGGCACGGTCGACCTGGATGCGATCACGGAGGCGGAGGAGGAGTATCTGGGTGATATGGCGCCGCGGTATCGCTATGCTTACTAATCCGCATCCGACTCTCTCGGTCATCGTACGGTTTTTTTTTTGTTCTGCGTTGCACAATAATAATAATACTTGGGTCGCGGGAGGACGATGGCGATGCATGGCAACTGGCCGATGTCGGCGTGTATGATTCATGAATAAAAGATTAGAATTGATGAGTGTGACTGCTTTAACTGCTTTGGGGATAGAGGGCGGAGATTGCCGATGGGTAATGAAGTGTGTTCACCGGGGGCGGGTCAGGGATGCTGCGGAGTGATGCGCTTATGCTGTGCCCGACATATGCAGCTGACTCATCTCCTATGCTATGCATGATTAGGTGGCCGGTATATTATCCAGTATGGCCCATTTGCAGAGTCGGAATTAGAGGTACAGTAGGGAGGTACAGTACCACAATCACGCACATGTTTCCGGTGATCTCAGCCGGCAGATAACCAACCACTATGCAGACCCTATGATGTACCAGACTGTTTAACCGTGTACTATCACCGATACCCCATTGCAAATCGCCATCCCGCATCGCGATGGCGAATCCAGCTCTCCGGGAATCCCGGAGATGTCATACAACCTCTGACCTCGCTTAAATCCCTGATGCATATGGCGGCATCCTTCTGCAGGCTGGCTTTGGATCTGCAGGTCCAACTTTACAATCAATTCATGGAAAGGGGTAATGTCAAGACCAACCATAGCCGTGTCAACTGAGTCCCTGGATCCCTGGATCTGTTACCGGCAACCACAGACTGGCATCCAGGCACCCAGCGGAACAAGTCCTACCCCTTTGCGACAGGTCCCCTACAAGCCGAATCTTATCTTATCGTTGGCGTGTGTATGAGGTGGATACGAAGCGCAACAGGTTCTGCATGCCCCGTCCCGAAGCCCTCATTGCGGGAGGAGATCGCGTAATCGCGGCTAGCGATGGTACAATGCACGAGCACGGCAAATCAGAACCCCCACAAGATGCAGCCGGTTATATATCGTGCAGAAGCGAGGGGTTAGCCTCTACGTGGTGGACGGTGAGCAATGAGGAGACAGTGTTCCTGGATGATGCCATTTCAGTGAATGTTGGCGGACAGGAAGGGTGTCTCCATTCACTGGAGCATGGTAGTCGTGGTATACTCACAGATGAAAACAAATATAAACCAGGCGGCATCGCGGGCAGACCAAGGTAAATCTTCTGGAGCAGCTTCACCTCCCACGCCAACACGCATCTTGTACATACCTCTGGCCACCATGGCCTCCCTCCTCCGCCACGTCCCCCTCCTCCTGGCCGTCGCGGCCTCCTCCGTCCTCGCCGATGGCCAGTACCGCTCGCGGCCGGACCTCTCCCCGCCCACGCTGAACGTCACCGTCGAAGCCCCGGACGCCAACGGCACCGAGTACGTGTTTGTCGCGCCGTACGGGGCCTCTCTCGCGCAGCCGGGCGCCTACATCTACCGCAAAAACGGCGACCTGATTTGGTCCGGCATCGGCTACTACGCGGGCTTCGTGGGCAACTTTCACCGCACCACGTACAACGACCAGCCCGTGCTGCAGGCCTTCGAGGGGACCATCGATTCCACGCATGGCGAAGGCTGGGGGTACCAGGTCTTATTGGATCAGAACTACCAGCCCGTCGCCACGGCCAAGGCGGCCAACCACCGCATCCCCTCCATCCACGAGTTCAATGTCATCAACGGGAAGACCGCGTTGGTCGAGGTGTACACGCCCACGCCCTGGAATCTGTCGGCGTATGGGGGGAATGCGTCGCAGCAGTGGATTGGAGATGGGTATTTCCAGGGTATGTCCTCCCTCCTCCGCTGCAGCCTCACGCGAGGTGAGCGGTCCTATGGACTAACGCGGCGCAGAGTTCGACATCGCAACCGGCGACCTGATCTTCGAATGGAACGCGCTCGACCACATCGATCCAGGTGGTACGTATCCTTGCCTTTCTCTCCTCCCGAATCCGCCCCCTTCCCCGCAACAACTAACCTGAGCCAAACAGAAAGCCTGGTCCCCCTCGCCTCCGCCGCCGCCGACAGCGGCCTAACCGCCGCCACCAGCTGGGATTTCATCCACATCAACAGCGTCGACAAAGACCGCGACGGAAACTACCTGGTCTCTTCGCGCCACCTCTCCACTATCTTCAAGGTGAACGGCACCGACGGCCGCATCCTGTGGCGCCTCAGCTCCGCCAACCCCTCCACGTTCACGCTCCCGTCCAACTTCGAATTCGGCTTCCAGCACCACGCCCGCTGGCACCACGTCTCAGCCACCAAAGAAATCATCTCGTTCTTCGACAACTCCAACGCTGGCACCGGGCTGGTGTTCAACAACGTCTCCCGCGCGGTTGTCGTCGAGCTCGACCTGCGCAACAAGACCGCCACCGTGCTGCGCGAGGCGCCCGCGCCGTACGGTATCTCGGCGGCCTCGCAGGGCGACGCACAGCTCCTGGACGATGGACGCGTGTTCGTGAACTGGGGGTCCGCGGGCGCGATTACCGAGTTTGATGCGCAGGACGATGTGGTCTATCATGCGTGGTTAGCCGAGGATGGGGTGAGTTATCGCGGGTTCCTGGGGGATTGGACCGGGACGCCGGTGGAGGAGCCGGCGATCGTGGCTTACCGCACTTCTGCGCCAGGCGGATTGCGCGTGTATGTGTCCTGGAATGGGGATACGGAGACGGTCGGGTGGCGGTTTTATGGGCTCAGTCAGCGGGTGAATGCGTCGGCACCGGTGTTTCTGGGGCAGGTGGAGAGGAGCTCGTTTGAGACGGTTTTGTTCACGGATCGCGTCGGGGTGGTGGGCGAGACGGGGAGGTTTTATGCGGTGGCTGTGGGGAAGGAGGGAAGTGTTCTGGGACGGACGAGGGCGGTGCGTGCGCAGGAGTGGGTGGCGTTGGTTTGATGACTATATGTATTAGTGATTATGGATCTGTGAGTAAGAGATCTGAGAAGTTATGCCTGATGATGGAATAGAACGAGACTTTTGTGATTATAGATGTCAAGCTAGGCTGCTGACTGCGTGGACTGCTGTTTCTGTGTCTGTTGACGCCTTTTCATACTCAACCACCACTTTATGTGTCCGGTGGATTTGACCCATTGCATACTCCTGATGGCCCATCTGCCCCGTTGGGAGGATGTTGTCCTCGCTCCCGTTCTTCAGAGTCCCGATGTTGGTCGTCAGCAGATCATCGTGCGTGAGCATGTAGTTCATCGGCTTTCGGAACGGGCGGTTGTGCGACGTGGCGAGCTCGATCTCGTGGTTTTTGTAGTATCGCTGGTAGGAGCTCCACGAGCGTCGGCCACGGATCATCTCGTAGAGTGGGCCCAGGGTCGGGATGCACGAGGCCATGATAATTACGTTGGATTCGATGCTGTGTCAGGCAAGGATCGTTAGGAATGCCGTGAATGAGTTGATGCGTGGGGGCAAGGGTTACCTGGTCCAGATGACAAGGTCGGCGGTGGCATCTAGGATAGCGTGAGAGGGGCGATAGCTCATAATAGTATGCGTACTTACACGTCGAGTCCGTGGTGTCATACAGTCCAGGGAGCTGGTTACACTTGACGATAGCCATTGCACACGCACTGCACGGATGAAGGGCAACGTTAGCTTGTTTACAAGAGAAAGCGACAACCCAACTTACATTGCGCCGAATCCCAGCGCCGCACACAGAGCAATCTTCTTTTTGAGCGTCATTTGCAGCGACGAGAGAACGACGGTGGGATACACCGCCAGATAGAGGTCGACACAGGCTGAGACAACTAGACAGCAGTCAGGTTGGTGCACATTTGCAGTACCGGGAATGGGTTGGGACAGCACCTCCCGTGAAGATGGCATAGTCTACCAGCACGACTTGCGGTCGGCACGTTGCACCTAGGGCCAACAGCTCCGTCTTCCATAGAGCTTGCGGCGGGTCGCACATGGTGAAGAGAACGATGATGCAGATACCGGATGTCACGAAGACCATCCCCGTCAACACCCACAGGAAGACCTGGTGGAAGCGCCCGGGGTTCAAGATGCGGTTCAACGGTGCGGCGATAGCCAATTTGGGAGTGGCAAATGACATGATGCCCAGCGCAAAATTGATGTAGTTGAGTAGCAGCACCTGCTCGAGTCGATCCATGCCTCCTAGTTCAATAATGACGGTTGTGTGCTTGCCGTATCCCAGGGCCACGACGGCGGTGGTCAAGGTTGTATAGCCCGCGAGGATGAGCTGTTGCAATCAGCACGACTGGGATCTGGTCCGCAGATCCGGCGTTATAGACTGGAGGAATACCACTCACTATCGCAACTGCAATGATATAGTCGTCCAGTCCAACGTTTTTCAGCATCTGCGATCGAATGTACAGCCGGGCGGACACCGTGGCCGCGCTCACGGAGAAAAAGGCCCAGAACACCCCGAGGATCTTGGGTCCCTTGGTCTGGCTAGCATACTCGACACTCATGGCTCTTAGGTTATAAAAGCCACACTGAGCGTGCAATCAGAGTTCACCACACGTTCATATACGGATTGAGTCTTTTGTGCGAGGATAAACGTGTGCGGGTGTAGGTGTAAAAGGAGGGACGGGGGTGATGGAGGAAAGAGCGCCCTGCCCTGCTGGTCTCCGAATCAACTCTGATATCCCTGCTAGTTTGAGGTCTATAGAGCAGATGATGTTTGCTTTGCTAGTTGGAGTGCATTGATTGCAATCATACGTTCGGAATGCTCATTTGTCTATGAGTGGTCGCCTCGTCTGGCTAACCTCAACAAGAGCCCCGTCAACGACAAGCCAAAGCCGGTCTTCCGGCTAGCGTGCTGTCTCGATATGAAAGGCCGTTACCGTTGAGCCGAGCTCCGTGGGCCGAGCGGCAGGATTTAATCTCAGATCCTAGTCTAGTCTCACCCCGACCCAGCCGATGCACTCTTAGAGCCACACTACGTTCAATCCGCTTTGAACTAAGGATTTAACCCTTACTAGTGACAGGATTGTCTGACTGGCATGTGACTGCCAGGGTGTAGGCAGAGCAACTGCTGAACCCAATTGAGTCGTCCGCATGCTTCCCCACCTGTCATGTCGATGTGGTCGGGGCTAGTTTCAGGGGAAGTGTGTGTCAACCAGAGCCCTATCCCATCATTGCTGTGCTTATATGTCCCTGCCTGTCCACGCGCTCAGGATCTTACTTCGTTCTTCAACTACTTCATTACTCAACCTTTTTCCATCTCTATATATATACCAGCTTTCATCATGCCGCACAAGAACAGCACACTCAACAAGGAGACCGCCGATGTGGCACAACTTGCCATCTCTCCCAACGTGCCCGCCCAAGTCCCCTTGCTCCTGGACCAGATCCATACTCAAGGCAAAGAATATCTCGACGCGAAGCCCCAATCACGACTGGATCTGCTCGAGAGCGCCCGATCCCTCGTGTACGCGCTCGAAACTCCCCGTGAGGCTATCCTCAGACACTGCTGGTCCGAGGTACGCACCACCACTGACTCTCAGCACACAATGCTCGAAAGGTTTGACAGTGTCCTAGACAACCAGCTACGCCGCCATCGAGACCGGGATCAACGTTGACCTCTTCACAGCTCTCGGCACCGACGACAAACCCAAGACCGTCGCACAGCTCGCCAAAGCCACGAATGTCGACCCCGTGCTTCTCGGTTCGTGATCCCATCACCCCCGTCCCCGACACAACCAGCGGGCGGCCCCTCATAGTCTATACCCCAGGTCGTATGTTGAAACACCTCGCCGCAATGGGCGTCCTCCTCGAAACCGGCAAAGACACCTACCAGCCCACGGGCTTTTCCAAAACCCTAACCGAGCAGAAATACAGCGACGCTTTCCCGCTCATGTACGCCCTACCCCTGTCCCGGCCCCCAACCCCCCTCCCAATCCCCCTCCCAATCCTAACCTACTGATATCCCCCAAGGACCACCCGCTTCACGCAAGGCTTTCTCTCCCTCCCCACTTTCCTCGCCCAAACCAACCACACCAACCCCACAAACCCCAACCAGACAGCCTTCCACCTCGGCCACTGCACGACTCTGAGCTTCTTTGAGCACGTCCAGCGCGAACCCGACACCGCCCGCCGCTTTAACAACCACATGGGCGTGTACGCGCAGGGCCGGCCGCGGTGGATGGACCTGGGGTTCTATCCGGTGCAACAACTTGTCGACGCGGCCGTCCCCGCTATCGGCGAGGAAGGCGTGTTGCTCGTCGACGTCGGCGGGAGCTTCGGGCATGACCTCCTCGAGTTCCGCCAGACGTGGCCTGATCTGCCGGGACGGCTGGTGCTCCAGGACCTGCCGGAGGTGGTGGCTGGCGTGCCTGCGGAGGTGGCTGAGCTGGGGGTGGAGGTGTTGGGGTATGATTTCTTTACGGCGCAGACTGTTGTTGGTATGTTCTCCACAGGAAGGGAAGGGAGGGAGGATGAGGTGTTGTTGGGGGTTGTGATACTCTACTGTACTGTACTGACTGCGGTGTTGAATAGGCGCCCGCGCATACTACCTGCACTCGATCCTGCACGACTGGCCGGACGACCTGTGCTGGACGATTCTGGGCAATCTGAGGGTGGCGATGACGCCGGGGTACAGTAAGCTGCTGATCAATGAGAATGTGATCCCGGATACCGGGGCGTATTGGGAGACGACGAGTTTGGATTTCATCATGATGAGTATTGGGTCCGGGGAGCGGACGGAGAGCCAGTGGCGGGCGTTGTTGGAGGGGGCCGGGTTGAGGGTTGTCAGGATCTGGGCGGCACAGCGCGGGGTTGAGAGTTTGATTGAGTGTGAATTGGTTTAATTGAGTTATATGAATAGGGGATTGTGGTCAGTGGGGTGAGAGTTGATGGAGATTGAGCTGGGATGGGATTAGGGCTAGTGGATACGGTGCATGTGCTTATGTACTGTGCTTTTAAGCACATGCACCGTACTTTTCATTCGGGGAACGAGCTGTGCAAAAATGCATGATATCCAGGTGTGTCGATCATCGTCTTATTATTGTTTTAAATACTTTATCATGGCTTATAGAATTTAAAAGTGAATGGTTCAGAATCCGAGTGAACGCTACACCCCCGCCTGTGCGCGTCTCTGCTCCCGCCGCCAGAACTGCTGCAACACCACGAGCATCAACAGCATGCACACATCCAATGCAATCGTCCAATTGTACCCGATCAGATACCGCGGCGCATCCACCGTCTTCCACACCCTGTCCAGACATTAGCAAACCATTACCCATGGCACTACATGCGGCGGCACCGAATGCACCCAGGAAACTCACAGCAACGGAATCCACGCCCCAAAGGTATTCCCCACCGTATTCATCGCACTAATCACCAACGCGCGCTCCTCGGCACTGCGCGCGCAGATCTCATTCGCCCACGCGTAGATAATGGCCGCGATCCCATCCGCCGTGCCTGATAGAAAGAACGCAAAGAATTTGAGACCAACCGGCACGCGCCAGATCGCCAGCACGACGCACGCGAAGATGTTCAGCGCTGCCGTCGTGGCAATCAGCGCCACTTTCACGTCGTAGATGTCTGATAGCACGCCGCACAGGATCGACGAGACGATTGTCACGGCCGGCGAGACGGTCGTGATCGTGTTGATGTCCTCCACCGAGTAGCCCTCGGCTTTCAGCCACAGGGACAGCCCGCTGTTCGAGGAGACGCCGTCCGCTTGCGAAAAGAAGAAGGCGAACCCCACCAACACCCAGAGGCGCCAGCCTTTGAGGATGGTGAGGATGCGCGGCAGGGTGAAGGGTTGGCGCGGTTGGCGGTGTTCGGCGGCCATGCGGGCTTGAGCTAGGTGGATTTCTTCGGGGGTTAGGAAGCGCGATCTGCATTTTTCGGGCGTGCTGGGAAGGAAGCACAGGCCCAGGAAGGCGATGGGGATGGTGCATGCGAAGCCTGGGGGTGGTTAGGATTGGAGCTTGCTACGCTATCCGGACTTTGAACCTTGGGGGGTAGGAGTGGGGTGGGGCTTACAGATGATATACAGCCAGCGCCAGCCCTCGATCCCGTATCGCCCGTTGAGGCGGGCGTAGGCGCCGGCTTGGATATATCCCGAGCTCATGCTGCCCACTTGGCTGGCGATGAAGAAAATGGCTCCGCGGCGCGCCAGTTCTGATCGCTTGTACCAGCAGCCCAGGTACCACTGGACGGCGGGGAAGAAGAAGCCGCCCAGGGCGCCGACGAAGAAGCGGAGTGCGTACAGTTGCGTCACGCTGGTCGCTTTGTATTGTGCCAAGGTGAAGACGCCCCAGAGGAGGTCGGCAGCTGGCAGGAAGTAGTTCACCGGGAAGCGCGTCATCTACCGAAGTTGTCAATGGCTTAGCTCTCTTGATGCCCGATAATGTAGACGTGGGTCGAACGTACGGCCAGCGTCAAAGGGATCTGCATCGTGATAAATCCGACCCTAGATCCTGTTAGGAGGCTGGTAAAGGAAGCGTCGGCGCAGCACGTACATGTAGACAGTATTCAAGTAATTGAGCTGATTGCCGTACATCTTCAGATCCTCCCTCATACCACTGACGTAGGCGGTGCTTGTGGCAGACGAATCAAGCACCTTCGCCCAGTAGGCCAGAAAGACGAAGACGATGATGAGGCCGTCCAGCTTGAGGATGAGACGGCGCTCGGCCGGGGTGTCGGTGGGCGCAAACCATTGGTACCACTTCTGACGCTGCTGAACTTGGATCGGGGGTTGGACCTGTGCTTCTTTGCTATCGGACAACTCGTGAATGCCGGCCTCCGTAGCCCGAGGCGCCTTCTCGATCGAGGCGTCCATGTTAGGGCTTGTGATGGGAAGCGCCAAGTTTCAGATTTCGAGAATAGAACGTGGTGTCTAGAGATTACCTCCGATTCCTGCAGAGTAGCGTGTAGATATTTGTTCAACGCTGGAGCACGCCACTTTTAGCGTGAATGGCGAGGAGCGGCAGGGACTCACCCCACCATTGGAAAGGTGATAGAGTTGCGTGCCTCGTGGGCTGGAGGGCTTGGCGACGCTATACTAGTCGCCCCGAAATCGGGTGATTCGGTCCCGTAGCCGAGCCAGACGAGCTCGGCTATTTCTCAGGAATTCTCTTCCGATGCAACTTGACATCAGACTCAAGGTCTGACTAGTTAGTGTGACATGAACTATGCTGAAACGACAGGGATGGAATTAAGTCATATGATCACGGCTCAAGTCTCGATCTACTTTGGTTAAAGGGCGTGAATCAAGGCGCGGGTGCAGGTGTATTATTAATACATGTGTGTGGCTGTTATATCTAGAAAGAGATGTGTTATGTTTGACGTCTGTTCTTAGGACGTTGTAATCAAGCTTTGGAGATGGACACCCTATTAGTCAAAAGGGATATTAGTTAAGACAACAGGAATCAGACCCCGTCACACGCACAGGAATAGAGAGAGGAAAGGAGCCGTACCAACGCGGCTATAGTATAGTATATCAAGTTCCACAATCGAGGCTTATAACTACTCCCAAGAAGAATACCAATGCTTAGCATATCCAGGTCTAGAGACAATATACTCTGCTGACGACACTCTTATAGACAACTGTAATGAAAAAATGAAGATATGGGGACGGAATATGGCTTTCGATTATCCTCTTTCAACAAGTCGACAGTACAAGTCTATCAGCCTTGTAGATAACCTTGCCCTAGAATCGTCATTCTTTCTACACCCATCAATTCACTCTGCTTGAAATGAACCTAATATTTCCATATCCCTTTTAGGCCGCTAATCATAGAATAAACAAACTAAACAGAAGAAGAAGAACAGAAGAAGAAGAAGAAGAAGAAGAAGAAGAAGAAGAAGAAGAAGAAGAAGAAACAAACCTACCCCCAAACCCTCTCCCACCACCTCCCCTTCCTCCCCCCACCACCCTCACCCTCACACTCAACCACCAACTCCAACGCCTCGACCTCCTCCAACCCACTCCTCAAATCCACCTCGTGGGCACTCAACCACCAGCCCTCCCCCCACCTCCACGCCCCCAACCCCCTTCTCACCGCATACACCCCCAAAAACACAAACGCCCCGATATAACTCGTCAAAAACCCACTCACACTCCAATTCCCCGCCACAAAATACTGAAACCCCTGCCCCAGCAAGATCACCGGACAAACCACCATCGCCGCCCAGGCCCCATACGGCTGCCAGCACGACCGATACGGCACCCCAACACCCTGCACGGCACAGGCCCCGCGAAACCGGAGGTAGACGACTGCGCACGCCGTCCAGCTGATCATCCCGGCGGAGTTGGTCAGGCTCACGAACCAGTTGAACACGGTGCTCGCGCCGGCGCTGCAGTCCATGTAGGCTAGCCCGCCGAAGCTGGCGCTGGCCAGGACGGCGTAGTACGGCACGCCGTGGCGGTTACACCTCCCAAAGATTGGTGGAGCGGAGCCGGCCGCGGCGAGGGAGTAGAGCGTCCGGCTGGACATGTACAGGTACGAGTTCGCGGCGGACCAGGCCGACGTGATGATCACGGCGTTGACGACGCTGTCTAAGCCGGAAATCCCGGCGTGCTTGATGGCGATCACCCAGGGCGAGGCGTTGACGCCGGTCCCCGTGGTCAGGCCGGATGCGTTGCTGGGGCAGATTACGCCGATGGCCAGGACGCCGAGCACGTAGAAGACCAGTAGGCGGTAGAAGAATTGGCGCGCCGCGCGGGGGAGGTTGGCCCGTGGGTTCTGCATTTCACCGGCGGCAACCACCAAAAGCTCGGGGCCGAAGTTGAAGGAGAAGACCGAGTAGCAGAGCGTGTAGATGAAGGCGCAGAAGCGGCCGGCTGCGCCGGGCACTAGATACGTGTTGGTGGCCCCCGGGTGGTTCCAGTAGTGGAAGCCCAGCCGGGTGTGGCTGGGTCCGCCGCCCCAGAAGAGGATGAAGCTCAGGATCAACAGGCCGAGGATCAGGAAGACTTTCAGCGAGGCGAACCAGAATTCCGTCTCGCCGTAGATGCGCACGGGGCTGAAGTTTAAAGCGAACACGACGAGGAGCATGAGGGTTATCCAGACGGCGAGTGGGACTGGGTTGCTCCAGTAGTTTATTACTACTGCGGCGGCGGTGGTTTCGTACGCCACCAGGATGCCGAAGCTGTACCAGTATAGCAGTCCTAACGAGAAGCCGAGGGATGGGGAGACGAAGCGGGTGGCGTAGGCGGCCATCGAGCAGCCGTGGGCGGGCAGGTAGGTGTTCATCTCGGTGGTGGCGGTGATGACGGCGTACACGAGGAGGCAGATCAGGGCGTACGAGAGGAGGAGGAAGGCTGGGCCCGCGATGGAAAGCGCAGACCCGACCCCGACGAAGAGTCCGGTGCCGATCGTGCCCCCGATGGCCAGCATCTGTGCGTGGCGCGACTTGATGCCCCGTTGCGTGTGGGGGATGCGGTGCGTATCGCCCTCCCCATAGTCGATGGTGGGGTCGGGGGACTCGTGGTCGTGGGCCTCGATGGCCTCGAGGGCCTTATCGGCGGAGATGGCTTTGACTGCCATGTTGCTGGTCGCCCGGTGTGAATATGGGAGGAGGCGAAAAGGGCCAACACATACCGGCACTGGAGTGCCAGTCCGGGGGTTGACTATATATGCGTCCCCGGGCTGCAGCGATTGACTAGCGGCAGAGATAGGGTTAGCATCTCCGCTGAGATAGCCCGCCCTCGCTGACTGGTTGGCTGCTCTATCGGTGGCGTTGCCTCGATGGCCACTTATCTGGGAGCAGTTTGATATCGATAACCGGATAGGCAAGTCTCTCCACCGAGTTGCCGTTCTGGGGAGCTAGCGAGGTGCATGACATCTGTACCAAG